GGGCCTGCTTTCATTTTTCCTATGTTGCAAACGCATTATAAATATCACTTTCAGCAAAGCTGATAAGGCTGAAATTATGCAGCTCTGGGCTTAACGTTCTATATATTTTTATCCCATGCCTCAATCAGCATTGCCACCCCCTCCCACTTCCTCCCACTCTTTACCCCAGTAAGATACCCTTTTGTCACTTGCTGTCATAGCAATGCATTGTAGAGCCAGGAAAGGAGGGCAAAGTGAAGGCTTTGAAGGCTGAGACCTATTTTACTTGGTCTGCAGTACCCAGCTCCTTCCTTCTCATCTCCAAGGGCTGTAGGAATTTTCCCAGTGGTTCCAAACCCTAGTTGGGATCTGCCTTTAGATGGAAAGCCAAAGTCAGATGTGCCAGTTGAGAACCCAGAGGGGAAAGTGTGTCCAGCCTTTTTGGCTCATTTGCATTCCACGATAATAATATGCAAAGAGGCCGGGCGTGGTGGCTCATGCCTGTAATCCAAGCACTTTGGAAGCCAAGGCGGGCAGATCACCTGAGGTCAGGAGTTCAAGACCAGCCTGACCAACATGGTGAAACCCCGTCTTTAAAAAAAAAAAAGAAGAAAAAGAAATAATATACAAAGAAACACATAATTAAAGACATTCCAAGGTGCACATAAGCATGCACACTTATTTACTTGGTTTTGAGAAGATGTTTTAATATTGCATAGTTTTAAACATTTATAAAATTGTAGAAAATTGCCTTTTCTTTTTCCTCTGATGATGTTAACTTAGCATGGCTCTCATTTTTTTAGAGTGCCCAAATATAGAGTGGGACATGCAATGCATATATCACAAACACAGAAATGTGCTCTCAGTTTCATGAACTTAGGTCAAGGGTCCATTTTTCTAGCATTAAGTTTTAAGGGTACGAGTTGAATAGTGACTAACAATTATACTTACCTCCTAAAAATAAAATGCTGAAGAACAAGAAAGAGATTGAGCAAGGGGACCTCTTCAAGTTATAGCCTGCCATCAGCCCCAGCTGGACCTGACAATAGCCTTACACACTGATGCCCTTCAAAAGATTAAAAAACAAAGTTATTGGGACTTTCCTTCTGTGGACAGTCTTATTTTTTAAAAAGATAAATCTGAAACAGCAACGTACATACAGTCTTTGACATGATAACCTACTGCGATGGAGTGAAGCAAGCACTGATCTTGGAATTAGCTGACAGCTTTGCACTGGGCAATATAGGTAGGGCAGAGGGCTTACATTCACTGGGCCTCAATTTTCTCCTCAGCAAAATGGGGATATTAATACCTGTCTGAAAATAAAATGTAAGTAAGGTACCTGGGATGTGAGATACTCAAAAACTGCTAATTTCCTTCCCCAGCAGCAAAAGTAATTATTTGAAAGAGGCAGCATGTGGTGATAGAGCACAGCCTATGTATGAAGAATGAAGCAGAAGACTGGCGTGGCATAGTGGCTCATGCCTGTAATCCCAGAAAGATTGGGAGGCTGATGTGGGAGGATCACTTGAGTTCAGGAGTTAGAGCCCAGCCTGGGCAACATAGTGAGATTTCGTCTCTACTAAAAGTTAAAAAATAGACCGGGCACAGTGGCTCACGCCTATAATCCCAGAATTTTGGGAGGCTGAGGCAGGCAGTTACTTGAGATCAGGAGTTTGAGACCGGCTGGCTAACATGGTGAAACCCGTCTGTACTAAAAATCCTAAAATTAGCAGGGCATGGTGGTGCATGCCTGTAATCCCAGCTACTAGGGATGCTGAGGCAGAAGAATAACTTGAACCTGGGAAGCAGAGGTTGCAGTGAGCCAAGATTGCACCACTGCACTCCAGTCTGGGCAACAGAGTGAGACTCTGTCTTAAGCAAACAAACAAAACCAAGAATGAAGCAGAAAATAATGGCAACCTGAGGGAGCTCTGGGTTGATTATTCTGATTTGCTCAATAAAGTAAAAGTCAAGTTCGGCAACGAAAGGCAGGTAGAAATGGATGGAAAAATCAGGTAAAAGAAAAGAGGAAAAGCTGTAAATTAGGTGTTCTGAAGGTTGACGTATAGAGTTTACTAGAGAGTTAGTATATTTCTGGGTGATATTGAGCACTCCTTTGAGGCTTGAGATTAGGAAGTTAAGGTGACACCGAGTGGTGCAATTGTACGATTCTCTAGCAATGCTTGGGTGCACGGGTGCACACACAGAACGAGGGGATGTTTGAGGTTATTTGAGGCTGGACTTTTTGCAAGACAAGTGTAGAAAAAGGAGGGAGGCAAGGAAATGAGAAGTATGTTCAAAGGCATAATCATAATAATAATTATGAAATTTAAACCAAAGAGAGAAAAAAAGACAGCAAGAGATTGCTCGAAAAGCAGAAGGGAGTGTTATTGATCTTCATTTCACATCTAATGTGAATTATGTTACCTTCCCCTTAGAAGGCATAAACAGTTAAGACCAACTCTGTTTTGTTTTTTATTTTTATTTAAATAGGGTCTCACTCTGTCACTTCACCCGGGCTGGAGTACAGTGTTGTGATCTTGTATCACTGTAACCTTTGTCTCTTGGGTTCAAGTGATCCTCTGGCCATAGCCTCCTGAGTAGCTGGAATTGCAGGTGCCCACCACTATGCCTGGCTTTTTTTTTTTTTTTTTTTTTTTTTTTTTTTTTTTTACTAGAGACAGGGTTTACACCATGTTGGCCAGGGCCAGGCTGGACTCAAACTCCTGAACTTAAGTGATCCACCTGGCCTCCCAAAGTGCCAGGATTATAAGGAGGAGCCACTGCACCTGCCCCCAACTTTGTTTTGAAATTATAATATTTTATCTCCATTATATTAGCAACTAAACCCAAAAGTTCAACAGAATAATACAACATGAGCAAGAACAATTTATTTTAGGAATACACAAGTGCTTAAATATTACATTGAATGATGAAAGAATTACCAAATGATCATATCATCAGATACTGTTATCAGTTATCTCTTGCTGTGTAACAAACCACCCAAAAACTTTGTAGCATAAAGTAACCAGTGTATTCTACTCATAGATTCTCTGAGTCAGTAATCAGAACAGAGCACAGCAGGGACAATTTATCTCTGCTCCACAATGTCTAGAGCCTCAGCTAAGAAGACTCAAAGTCTGGAGTGACTTGATTGCTGAGGGACAGAATCATCTGGAGGTATCACTACTCACTTGTTTGGTACTTGAAGCTGGACATGGTTTCAGACCTCAGCTGGGTCATCAGATGGAAAACTTACACATGGCCTCTCCAGGTGCTTTCTCCAGGCATTAATCTGAGCTTTCTTACAGCATGACTGATGTGTTCCAAGAATAAGCAATTGAAGAGCAGAAGGTGGAAGTGCTTGGCATTTTTTTTTTATTTTGAGATGGAGTCTCACTCTGTCACCAGGCTGTAGTGCAGTGGTGCGATCTCAGCTCTCTGCAACCTCTGACTTCCTGGTTCAAATGATCTTCCTGCCTCAGCCTCCTGAGTAGCTGGGATTACAGGCAAGTACCACCATGCCCAGATAATTTTTGTATTTTAGTAAAGACAGGGTTTCACCATGTTGGCCAGAATGGTCTCGATCTCCTGCTTGTGATCCGCCTGTCTCAGCCTCCCAAAATGTTGGGATTACAGGTGTGAGCCACCACACCTGGCCAGTGCATGGCATTTTTATGATCCAGCCTCATAAATAACATAGTAGCCCTTCTGCAGTACTTTTTGTCCAGGCAGCCACAGGGATCTTCCTAGGTTCAAGAAAACAGGATATGGACCCCAACAATCTGTATTAGTCAATGTTCTCCAGAAAAACAGAACCAATAGTATATATACAAGAGGGGATTTATTATGAGAATTGGCCCATGCAATTACGGAGACAGAGAAGTCCCATGATACATTGCCTGCAAGCTGGTGAAGCAGGGAAGCTAGTGGTGTAATTCAGTCTGAGCCCAAAGGCCTGAGAACCAGGGAGCCAATAACATGACTCTCAGCTTGAGGCCAAGGACTGAGAAACCAGGAGCCTCTGGTTGAAACCTTAAGAGTTGGAATGCTCAGGAACCAGGAGTGCTGATGTAAAAGGGCAGGAAAAGATGGGGGTCACAGCTCTAGAAGACAGAACACATTTGCCTTGCCTCTGCCTTTTTGTTCTATCCATCACCTTGGTGAATATAATGGTGTCTGCCCACGTTGGATGAGGGCAGATATTCCTTACCTAGTCTACTAATTCAATGCTCATCTCTCCCAGAAATACCTTCACAGACATAACCAGAAATAATGTTTTACCAGATGTTTAGGTTTGCCTTAATTCAGTGAAACTGACACCTAAAATTAACCATCACAAGTTCACCCCTTGTCAACTTGTGACACGTGTCTTTTTAAAATTTTAATTAATTTATTATTATTATTATTTTGCCAAATCCAGATACTTCTGAACCATACGTCTCTCCTTAAACTACACTTAATCTTCAAATAAAGACAATAACAAGCTGGGTGTGGTGGCTCGCTCCTGTAATACCAACACTTTGGGAGGCTGAGGTGAGAGGATCTCTTGAGCTCAGGAGATCCAGAGCAGCCTGGGCAACATAGTGAGGCCCTGTCTCTACAAAAATAAAAATAAAAAAATTTGCCAGGCCTGGTGATCTCAGATGCTGGGGACTGAGGTGGGAGGATTGCTTGAGCCCAGGAATTCAAGGCTGCAGTGAGCCATGATTGTGCCACTGCACTCCAGCCTGGGCAAGAGAGTAAGACCCTGTCTTAAAATGAATGAATGAATAGATAAATAAATAAAACAGGGTCATAGTTCCACCTAATATGATATAATTATCCTGTGCACCACTGAAAACACACTAGTCCCTTCCCCAGTAGAGGAGGTAAAGTTCTTGAGTAATATTTACTCTTCTACTGATATCCCATAATTTAAACACCATGATATAAAATTATGAACACTTAAAAATATTGACGTAAAGTCAAAACAGCTAGCTTATCTTACATGACAAAGTAATAAGAGACGAGCCATTGCGTGGACGCAGGGTGAGCTTGAGCATCGGTGTATGTTGGGCCAGAGGAAAGCGGGAAGACGCATCGGAGCATGTTGATTTGAACCTCTGCATTTTTTACCCTAGATCTTGAAATGTATCGTGATTCCTGTCCGTTGGACTGTAAAGTTTATGTAGGCAATCTTGGAAACAATGGCAGCAAGACCGAATTGGAACGGGCTTTTGGCTACTATAGACCACTCCGAAGTGTGTGGGTTGCTAGAAACCCTCCCGGCTTTGCTTTTGTTGAATTTGAAGATTCCCGAGATGCAGCTGATGCTGTCCAAGAGCTAGATGGAAGAACAGTATGTAGCTGCCGTGTAAAAGTGGAACTGTCGAATGGTGAAAAAAGCAGAAATCGAGGCCCACCTCCCTCTTGGGGTCGTCGTCCTCGAGATGATTATCGTAGGAGGAGTCCTCCACTTCGTCTCAGATCTCCAAGAAGGAGAAGCTTCTCTCGCAGCCGGAGCAGGTCCGTTTCTAGAGATAGGAGTAGAGAGAGATCGCTGTCTCGGGAGAGAAATCACAAGCCGTCCCGATCCTTCTCTAGGTCTCGTGGCCGTTCTAGGTCAAATGAAAGGAAATAGAAGACCAGTTTGCAAGAGAAGTGGTGTACAGGAAATTACTTCATTTGACAGGAGTATGTACAGAAAATTCAAGTTTTGTTTGAGACTTCATAAGCTTGGGGCATTTTTTTTTTTTTTTTAAGAGGGGGTTTCACTATATTGGTCAGGCTGGTCTCAAACTCCTGACCTCAGGTGATCCGCCCACCTCAGCCTCCCAAAGTGCTGGGATTACAGGCGTGAGCCACTGCGCCCCACAGCTTGGTGCATTTTTAAGATGTTTTAGCTGTTCAAATTTGTTTGTCTTTTGAAACAGTGACACAAAGGTGTAATTCTCTATGGTTTGAAATGGATCATGTGAGGCATGTAATACCAAGAACTGTTACTTTATAATGTTGTTCCCTTAAGCAAAATTGAATTTGCTTTGAATTTTAGTTATGCATAGACTGATGATAAACCTCTAAACGCGCCCAGCAGAAGTGTGAATTTTTTTTTAAATACAGAAACGACTGGCAAAATTGAACTAAGATTTACTTTTTTGGGGTATAGGATGCAGCTATAGTTGAATGAGCAGTCTTTAAAAGTTGCTGTGAAACACAAGGCATCGGGTAAAAAACGCTGCACTAGTAAATTAGAGCGTTTTGAAAAAGCCAACTCATGTTTATCCTGGGCAGAGGTTGCCTGGTTGGTATAGAATGTGTTAAATTTCAAGAAAGTTTATCTTTGCTTAAGTCATAAGTTCCTTATTTGATTGCTGTATATAAATACATGGCTGTTCATGACATTATGTGCAAATTTGAGATTTCAAAAATGACCTGCCAGTTTAAGGGTATATTGTAGAGACGAACTTTGAGTTACTGTGCAAGATTTTTTTTCATGCTGTCATTTGTAATATGTTTTGTGAGAATCCTTGGGATTAAAGTTTTGGTTACAAATTGTTGTTTAACTTGAAAGCCTGTTTTTTCCTTGCAAACTCAAATCTGTGAGCTTGGTACCAAGTCCAGGTATAACATTTCTATTGGAAGCCATACTTATATATTCTTGTAAAGTGCTTTTGAATTAATAAAATATTAGCATAATTGTGTAATAGTTTAACCCACTGTTAAGGCCAGGCGCAGTGGCTCACGCCTATAATCCCAACACTTTGGGAGGCCGAAGCGGGTGAATCATGAGGTCAAGAATCAAGACCATCCCGGTCAACAAGGTGAAACCCCGTCTCTACTAAAAACACAAAAATTAGCTGGGCATGGTGGCGCATGCCTATAGTCCCAGCTACTCGGGAGGCTGAGGCAGGAGAATTGCTTGAACCCAGGAGGCAGAGGTTGCGGTGAGCTGAGATTGTGCCATTGCACTCCAGTCTGGGTAACAACAGTGAAAAAAAACAACGTCTCAAAAAAAAAAAAATAGTTTAACCCACTGTTACCAGTGTTCTTATCCCATGGGAGGCAGTTGGTTGCACGATTCTTATTTTATAAGAAACACAGCTGAGATGCACTATGGATTAGTCTTCGTAAGTGAAAGAAATACAGTTGTCACCTAAGTGATAGTTAACCCATTTTAGGAGTAGAAGCCAGTTCAGGGTCCATGATATTTAGTGACCAACATTTTAAAGTATAGCAGCAACCTGGTACGTTGTAACACAAAGTAAGTTGCCCATTAAAAATGGCTTTTATCTTTAGCATGAAAACTTTCCACAGTTCTAAAAATTGCTTCCATTTTATACTTTGAAGTGTTGCATGGGAATTCTAAGCTGATCCATCATGATGTAAAGTTCACAATATGGTTCAAATGTAACAGTGCAGAATTGAATATGGAGGCATGCATAACCTTCCTCTTAGAAAATGGGAAGAGTTGTAATTTCAAATTTTTGTGCAATTAGATTAAATCATAATGCAACAAGAAAAGAGAGAAAAAGCCTGTTTTAGCTTAATATGTGTATATATACACACAAATGTATTTTTGGGGGGGTGGGGTACAGAATCTTACTCAGTCACCCAGGCTGGAGTGCAGTGGCATGATCTCTGCTCACTGCAGCCTCTGCCTTGCTGGCTTAGGTGATCCTCCTGCTTTAGTCTCCCAAGTAGCTGGAACTACAGGCACACACCACCACACCCAGCTAATTTTTGTGTTTTTAGTAGAGACAAGTTTTTGCCATGCTGCTCAGGCTGGTCTCAAACTCCTAGACTCAAGTGATCTACCTGCTTTGGCTTCTTAAAGTGCTGGGATTATAGGCGTGAGCCACTGTGCCTGGCCACAAATGTATTCTTAACAAGATAAGGAGGAAATTCTTATGATAATTATAGTCTTTGAGTCCATAACTGGTCACATGATTGTAGCTGTTGTTTATAACTAACTTCTATTACCTGTTCTGTATTCTTTCTGCCTTCAGTAAGTACCTCAACTGGTCACAGTTCTTTATCGGGTGAGGTGACCCAAATCTTTATTCCCTAAGGATCTGGACCATTTGAAGTCCTGCCTGGTTTTAGCTGTAGTTTCCCATTGACTTTAATCACAGGGCATGGTAATACTAAGAGGTACCCCAAGGGATCTCCTGTATTCCAGACATACTATTTCTTACCACCATGTGGATTATCCAATTTGGTAGTCCAGATCAATCATCCCAGCCAACACTATAACTCTCTTCTTAGTCTGCTGACCCAGAGTCATGAGGCACACAAAGTGACCAGGTGGCAGTCTTAACTTCCAATTCAATGAAGTCATCGTTGTGTCTCTAGACGAAAGCATTCCTCCCTATGGAACTAAAGACCTTTGGGCGAGCAGAGCATGTCTTGGGAACAGGAAGCAAACATTTTGCTAGTGGATCACTAGGGGTAATGGTCAGTGGTGCCACCTCCATTTCCACCCCTTGATTGCTGGACCCATGAATTCTAATTCTGGGAGAAACAGTACCATATATTGGACGCTGATTTAGAAGAATATAGAGCCTTCTGGAGAACTTTGCCCCAGCTCTATAAGCTATTGTCATGTAATGGGAAATATAACTGCATCTTCAAAAGTCCATTCCACCATTCTATCAAGCCAGCTGCTTCAAGATTGTGGGGGACATTGTAAGACCAGTGAATTCCATGAGTATAAGCCCACTGCTGCAATTCTTTAGCTCTGAAGTGAGTTCTTTGGTCATTCCACAGATGACAGGTGGAAGCAATGGAGACAGTGTCAAGCATGTGGAATGAGAGATTCTGTGGCCATCTTAAAAAACAATATGGCGGCCAGGCACGGTGGCCCATGCCTGTAATCCCATCACTTTGGGAGGTCGAGGCGGGTGGATCACAAGGTCAGGAGTTCAAGACCAGCCTGACCAACATGGCGAAACCCCGTCTCTACTAAAAATGCAAAAATTAGCCGGGGGTGATGGTGTGCACCTACAATCCCAGCTACCCAAGAGGTGGAGGCAGGAGAATCACTTGAACCCAGGAGGCAGAGGTTGCAGTAAGCCAAGATCGCACCACTGCACTCCAGCCTAGGTGACAGAGCAAGACTGTCTCAAAAAAAAAAAAAAATCTGCTACAGATACTGAAAAATTATCTAATAAAATTCAGCAGCCTTTTCCATTTGAAAGCTCTTAGATAAAAATAAATAGAAGGATGGATATATATGCAAAATAAATGAAAGCAGCATCCCAAAGAAATACTTGTGAACCCAGGTTCACAGCAGCATTATTCACAATAGGTCAAACAATCCAAATTTCTGAGGTTGCAATGATTGAAATTTATTCATCTTGGATGAATAGTGATCTGTTGAATAAAGAAATATTATATTCATACAATGGAAAATTATTCAGCCTTAAAAAGTAAGGAAATTCTGACAGATGCTATGCTGCAACATGGAGGAACTTGCGGATATTATTCAACCTTAAGTGAAACAAGCTAGTCACAAAAAGGCAAACACTGTATGATTCTACTTATATGAGGTATCTAGAGTAGTCAAATTCATAGAAACAGGAAGTAGAATGGTGGTTTCCAGAGCCTAGGGGTAAGGGAAATGGAGAGTTGTTCAATGGGTTCAGAGTTTCGGTTTTGCAAGATGAAAAGAATTCTTGTGATTGATTAATGATAATGTGGATATACTTAACACTAAAAAACTATATATTCTAAATTGATTACAGGCTGGTCTGAGTGCAGTAGTGTATACAGCTAACTGATTACAACTAGTTACAGATTTCTTTGTTTCTTCACTCCCACTGCTTCACCTGACTAGCTTTAAAAAAAAAAGTAAAATAAAAGGTTAAGGTGATAAATTTTGTGTTATGTGTATTTTATCATTTTTTTCTTTTCTTTTTTTGAAATGGGGTCTAGATCTGTTGCTCAGGCTGGAGTACAGTGGCATGATCTCTGATCATTGCAAACTCCACCTCCCAGGTTCAAGTGATCCTCGACCCTTAGCCTCCCAAGTAGCTGGGATTACAGGCGTGTGTCTTCACTCCCCGCTAATTTTTGTATTTTTAGTAGAGACAGGGTTTCATCATGTTGGCCAGGCTGGTCTCGAACTCCTGACCTCAGGTCATCCACCCTCCTTGGCCTCCCAGTATTGGGATTACAAGCGTGAGCCATCTCGCCTGGTCTAGAAAACTATTAGAACTAATGGAAAGTTAAATAAAGTGGCCAGATTTAAGCCAACTACATGAAAAACAATACTTTTTCTTTAACCCAGCAATAATCATGTAGAGATGTAATTTAACAATCCCACATCAGATGACAACAAACTTGATAAGAATCAGGAATAAATTTATAAGAAATGCACTAGACCTATTCAGCACACAAGTTTCATTTCAGTCCTCTTTTTCTCTGTTCCACATTCTCCAAACTAAATCAATAAAAAACTAAAAGAAATATTATAAAAGAATATTTCATGAGAACTGTAGTCTCAGTAATAAGAAAACCCAGTTTTGCCTGATCAGCTGAGCAAATTAAAATTCAATGCTTCTTTAACCATTACTATTTTCCATCCCAAGGTTTTGTTTTTGTTTTAACTTCTATGTTAGAGTTAAGAAAACAAAAACCCTACGCCCCATAAATCAAGGCAAACATTTTCATTTTTAGAGAAAAAGAGGTTAAGAGGAAAACAATTCTAAAGAAGCAATGTTTCTGCCTTGGGGAGA